GTTCTGTTTTAAGTGTCTCCTAATGAGCATCATAAATTAAAAATTAATATTGCAAAGACTGTATGAATAGCATCAAATCCATAAACAAAGCAGCGGGTATCACGCTTGCAAATGAAAGCTAAACACCTCCCCTGTCCTCTTTTCCATTCCCCACCTCTTTTTACCCTCCCCCAACTCCTTCCCTACCTTTACTCTGGGTCTACGGATCTGAAATTCAGGCTACCAGGAATTATACTGCAAATAACAACACCAGTAATTTTTTTCCTACAAGTTACTTCTGGTCTGCTCCTTACCTAACTTGGCTCAGTGTGATTTAAAGACTCAATCCAGAAATTTTATTTCTCATTTTTATTTTTCTTGGCCAGAGGCAGAGGAGGTAGAATTGAATTTCAAAAAACTCTTATGTGGATCAGATGAACTAGGTCAGATCCCATACAAGGGGTGAATATAGAGTCACTTTTATTGGCATCAAATAAGTTCTGTCCTTCCATCTTAGAGAATGGCATTTCAAATGGAGCCACATTTAAGGGGAAATTAAATACCAAAATATTAATAAGAGTTTTTTTCTGTGTAGATTATACTCATTATTTTATTTTTTTGATGCATTTCTGAATTTTGTAAATATCTACAATTATCATTAATACTTGTGCAATAGAAGAAAGAAAGAATGTATCATTCAGAAGTGAAGAAGAGTACTTGGTTGGACACAAAAGCCCTGTCACAAGGTTAAAATAATCATCATTTTATCAGCATTTTTATAATGCAGCAGACACTGTGCTAGATGTGTGTTATCTCTATCCTTCACAGCAGCATTGAAGGGTAGATGATATTCTTCCCAGCATCTAATTGCTGTCTAGAGGAAAAGGAGGCTTAGCCAACAGGCTATGAGCATTCCAATTCCTTTTTGTTGTTGTTGTTGTTTTCTTTTTTAAGGCAGACACATGGAATGTCTTGGCCATACGGTATTAAATATTCCACTTATGTAACTGATGCGCCTTGTTGGAATTACGGGATCACCCCACAACCTGCTGGTTATTATTTGGCCTCTGGTGCAGTAGTCAACAGTGTGACTACACACAGGTCATGCTCAAGTAAATATTCCAGGCCACGTGGCAGTCATATTTCTCACTGTAAATGAATATGTTGGCTTTGTTCTACATAAAATCAATTCGACCAAAACTTCAGTTCAGTTGCTTTAGGACTGAAAGGACAAAGATTTCCTAAGCCTTCAGTGATTGCCAAACTCTCTCCACCCAGACCCACGCGAGCCCCACGTCCCTAAACGCTATCTCTCAGCTGATTTGCTTGTTTTATTAATCTGAGGATTCAAATGTTCACACAGCCGTGCGTGGAGAAAGTATAAAACAATTCACCTTTTTTTCAGGTGAGCTACGTTACCAGTAAAGGTGGCATTCGGGCTGTTACCCAGATTACTTTTACCAAACTCAGCTGAAATGCCATCCCTGTGCCCCTGAGGACTGTGCATAACGTGCACGGGTGCTGGTGTTGCTGCCGCTGGGATTCCCTCACGCGCTACAGGCACTACAGTCGTAACAGCATGACAAGGAAAAACTGAACCTCTCTCTCCCCAGGATACCCTAAACCCAACAATGGCTAAATCTCTTAAAAACAAAAGTGCACATAAGTAGACAGCGCTTTAGCTCATTAAATTTGTCGCAGAACCAGGAGAATTCCAAGAACAGCAGTAGTACATTTTTACTTTATAAAAATGCCCTCAATGAAACAACAGATCTGAACACAAAGGTAAAAACTAAGCATTTGATAATGTTCCCATTCACATCTGTCAACATTTTAGAGAAACTTCAAATGGACTATATTTGTGGCTCTAGAAATTCTTAGTTTATGCACAGAATACATTTGAGGTGACTTGATTTTCACAGGTACCCAGGCTTCAAAAAAATACACCATGCAATCACAGGCCTTGGAAGCTGGAAAAGATCATGAAAGTCACGCAGACTTACCCTTCCTCATTTAACATGTGTGATGAAAGTTCAGAGAGGTTGAAACATGGCTCTAGGTAACTCACATGATTAGACTCCAGGAAATCTAAAGGCTAAAGAGAAATTGGGGGCAGACTTCCCATTGTACCCTTAGCAGTTGAATGGCAAATGACTCCATCTGTGATCAAGGGCTAACCCAGACAAAATGCACTGGACACCTGACCTTTTGGTATTTTTACAAGAAAACTTAAATAGAGAATTGAAACATTTGCCCAAATTGCTTTGGTTAATTTATTGAACTTTGCTTACCTTAAAAAGAAAAAAAATGAAGTTGAATAGGCAGTGTGACACATCTTGTAGTGTTGAAATAACAGTAGGGTCATATTTGATGTAAAATACGTTGTTTTTATTATATCATACGAGAGTATCATTTCATGAAACTTTTCATGTTTCAATTACAACTGACCCTTGAACAACGCAGGGCTTAGGGGTGCCGACCCCTGCACGCAGTTGAAAATCTCCCAAAACTTAACTACTAATAGCCCACTGGTGACACGTATTTTGTATGTTATGTCTATGTATATATATGTACATATATGTATGTAATATATACTATACATACATATATTTATATGTATGTATGTATACATTATACACACATATATTTATATGTATGTATGTATACGTACATATATGTATGTAGAGTATATACTACTATACTATGTATATATACGGCTAGAGGAAAGAAAATGTTAAGAAAATCATGACGAAAAGAAACTGCATGTATAGTGCTATACTGTAAAAAGTCCACTTCTAAGTGCACCTGCACAATTTAAATGTACGTCGTTCAAGTGTCAACTGTATATTTATATGCATACCCAGGCACACACATATGTTGGATTACAATGTATTTCTTACTTTGTATCCTACTAAAAAAGAAGGAAATTCAGTTCCGTAGAAATTTTGCTTTTGGCCCCACTTGGCTTTCTTTAAAAAACAAAACACTAGGAAATGTAAAATAGCACCTTTTTGAAAAAAACTGGGGGATCTTTGTGCTAAACAGTCATTTTTTTTAATCACTGCTGCCCAAAATGTTCTTTCTACCCTAGACCTAGTACAATGTTCTGTAGATTATGAATAAAAAGACATTAAACATAAGAAACTAGGGAAAAGGACAAATGTATAACAGATGAAAAAGGAAAAGGAACATTCCTTTGTGGTTTTAAGATACATTTATTGCTTTCCTAAAATCTAAGTTTGAGGTACACAGCCAGTTTGCTTTATTCAGTTCCTGGCACATAGTAAATGTCTCATAATATGTGGTGAATGGATGCTGAACTAAGAGACAGAAGAATCAACTTGCTGTGCAAAGCTAGGCAAAATCCTTAACTTCTCTGAGCTCCAACTTTTTTTCAGTGGTAAAAAGAAATGATGGGGCAAGAGCAGTGTTTCCTTCAGGGGTATCTGAAGAACTCATTCTATGGAATGTTAATAAATGACCCATCAAAATCATTTATAGCTGATAGATTGATAGGTGGTCCCTTCACCAGATTTCTATATCCTTCTTCCTGACCATTCAATGAGCCCTAACTTCGTGGCTCAGATATAGTGGCCTCTGAAGAAGGGGAAAAAAAAAAATTCAAAGAAGACCAGGAAAAAAAATCACCCTGGATTTTTTTAATAGAAAAAATAAATATGCCCAACTACCTAGACATGATTCTATTAAGCCCCCCAAACTGAGGAACAATATTTTGGCTGTGAATTGGTGACCTCTGTTATTTTCCATACATCCTTTATTTTTATACATCTGAACTTTCACAAAAAGGACAGAGGAACAGAAGGTATTTTTGGCTCAAACAATATCTTGCCCAAAAATGCCACAGCAATGGGCACTCTGCACCATTTGTTCAGGACTGTTTCTGCAGCATCAGCATCTACTTAAGGGCCTGGAATTAACGCAAGACCCACCCACCTGCTTCTGTGACTTTGGGATAAAAAGGGAGCCAAGTGAACTCTAGTTCTGGAGTTGTACCTGCCATCACCTACAGCTGCAACTCTGGCCTGCTGATGTTAGTGTCAAGAAACAAGGATAATCCTCTCTGTGAAGGGGTTTTGAGTTTGGGTAGCCAGACAGCATGGTTTGTCTGGAGAAGCACGGCGTAACAGTTAAATGTGTAGTGTTAAATTAGGCAAATCACTGAGAAGTTTAAGCTTTAATTTCCTCAAGCAAAATGGGAATAAAACTAGAACCTACCTTATGAGTTGTGGAAAGAACTGAATAAGAAAATATATTTGTAGGATTTGGCCCAATATCTGAGGCAGAATAAGTGTTCAATAAATGGTGTCTATTTTTATTATGGCACAACTGAATCCAGACCATGATTAAGAGATCAAGGATACAGAAATGTTAAACAATGTGTTAGTGTAGACACATTCTACTGTGATATAAAATCCATTAGAAAGACCCCGGGGAGGTATTCACATTGAATTGGAAACCAGTGCTGCCTTCATTGGTTCATTTTGTTCAATTTACTCTAGCAAATGACTTAGAAGTGTTAAAGAAAACCAACCGGCTACCCCTAGATGACCAGCAAATCTTGTACTTAATAGGTAAAATGGGTAGCCAGAGAAGCATCCATTTCTCAAGAGATATCCTATCACCATAGGTTTCTATTCTTTGTTTAAAATAGCAACACATTTCGAACCAAAAATGTTGGGCATTTTGCAGCCATTCTGCCATCCTGAGGCTTGTGTATGTCAACAAACACCTCCTAGTTATCATTAGTAAGCACCGATATTTCATGCTGTGGTCTCTAATCATATTTATATGGTCAAAGATGGCTTCAGTTTACCTAGCAGGGCAGATCACTGCCACCCTTTTATCCCCAGAAAGTGGAGACAGAAGCATAAAGAGGAGCAGCACCTTACCCAAAGGGTCCATGGACTGGACCACCAAATCCGTAAATGTGGCAATCAGCCATATAGCAATGCCAGCCCCTTAACCATCCCACCCAACATGCAAATCAGGTTCACACTCACTCATTTTCAGAGCTACTTGGGCGGTGAGCACAAGCCTCAAGTTTTCCAGGTGTCTGTACTGCAGAAGTGGTTGACAGGCTGAAACAAGGTGTATCTGGGAGGAAAAAATAATAGTAAAAGACTTAATTAAAGGATATCCAAAGAAGGCAAAAGAAATTACCCAACCCATCTGCAAACCGCACACTGGAAATGAATGGGTTCTTTAGTGTTTAGGACATTTTAGTGTTATAAAAACGTAGACTATAGAGCTATTATATCAAGTAATTTATGGGATGAATATTGTAATTCATTGAATGTCACGACTTATCTTTTATTCATATAGTTACTATTCCATTACCAGAGAGGGAGGTTTGTCAAAGGTTAATTATTTTAAATTGCTCCAGCAAATTTATTTTGATTTGTACAATTTTTTTTGAATAATCACAGGTCTATATATTCATACATCTTTATGAGGCTTCTTTTTAAAAAATAATATTCTTTGATGAGGCAGTTAAAGCTAGATAAATGCTTTAGTGATGTCTTTAAAATATATTCTCTTTAACTCTGGATGTAGATCTATAAAGAATTATTATATTATTGTTGTTGTTGATATTATCAGTCTTTTTTAGAACTCTCTACTTTTCTAAGAAAATTCCAATTAAAAAAATGGCTGAGAAATTGAGCTTTGACTTTCTCAAGAGGTTGGTCATGGTTCATAGTATCTCTTAGCCCTGGGTCACTATCTGGAATGACCCCCATATGGTGGATGAGGAAAACTGTGGCATCTGCTCTCTGGTGTGCCCTCTGCCTGTTTCACACGAGACTGCCCCTTGGCCAGGGGCACACCTCCTCAGGACATGAAAACTGGTCTTTGTGGAACAATAAATGCTAGAAGATAGGTCAAATACTTTCAAAGTTGGAAAAATCATTTCGAATTATAAACCTAAATTAGATAGGAAGCCAGAAGCAAAGAGAGTATTGGAAGGCTATAATACATACAGTATATATAATATATAGATTAATCCAGCTCCGTCTCCTTAAAAACCTATCACCTCTCTCAGGAAGCCTTCCTGATTATGCTTGTTTTCTTTATATTTCTCAAATACTAGTGTATCAAGTCTATATTACATTAATATGGTCTTACTGTTATGTAGCCTTTTAATTATTCATAAATCATTTGAGAGTTAGAGAAATAGAGTGAGAAAAGGTTCAGTTTAGAATCAAAAGACCTAGACTCAACATTTAAGCCCCAAGCTTTGTTACCTCTATGGGCTTAGAAAGGTTGTTCAGTTTGTCTGAGACTCAGTTTCTTTAATGTTAAAGGGGAATAGGAAAAACTGCCCGTGTGCTTCGTAGAGTTGGACATGTTACCTAATAATTGCATACTTCTCTGAGTTTATAAAATTCTTGCATATTTACCTCATTTAATCCCCAAACGACAGAATAAGATGAGTGTTATTATTCACCCATTTTTATGTGAATTGTGTGAAAATACTATTTTTAACACCATAAATTATTATTTTCAGTCTGTAGATTTTATATCATCAATTTAATATTAATAGCCCGAAGATACAGGCCATATCTATCTTTTAAATCTTTTTTATTTTATTCTTTCCTCATATCCCTTTTTTTTTTTTTAATTTTTTTTCAACGTTTATTTATTTTTGGGACAGAGAAAGACAGAGCATGAACGGGGGAGGGGCAGAGAGAGAGGGAGACACAGAATCGGAAGCAGGCTCCAGGCTCTGAGCCATCAGCCCAGAGCCTGACGCGGGGCTCGAACTCACGGACCGCGAGATCGTGACCTGGCTGAAGTCGGACGCTTAACCGACTGCGCCACCCAGGCGCCCCCATATCCCTTTCTTTTAGATGACTTGATAAACAGATTGAGAACATAGATTTTTCTAGTACAGATAACAAAGTGCTTTGCAAAATAAAAGCACCGTCAGGATGTATCTATATGTTGCCAGAGTGACATTAATTTTACTTGATGTCAGAAAGAAACTAATAATCTACCATTTGATCAAAATGTTTACTTTTTAATCAGTTGTACTGTTCCAAAACACATGGTGAAATGTTCTTGGAGTGCACAAAAATTCCAGAAATACAGAAATAAAATGTACATCTACTCTATAATGCTCTAGCTAACACTAGCCACAGTACATGATTCTGGAAATCATGAATTGTGGCTCAGGTACAGAGGCTGTGAGGTATTTCCTAGTTACTTATTCCAATCCATCCATGAGGGAACCTTGTCTGTCTTAATCACACTCAATACTTTGGCTGCCTGTCTCATAGTTGGGGCTCAGTAAATATTAGCTAAGTATAAAGTCTTTCATTATACTCATAAATCAGACCTTTAGAAGACTATGGAACTTTGCATTAAACAAGAGCTTGGAATTCTGAAGTGGATTCAGAAGAGAGAAAGTGTGGGAAATGGGACTCATAAAGTTAAAGAAGTTATTAACCCAAATAATAAAAGTAAGAGGAGACTGCAAGCATCATATAGCTTCATACAAAATATCGACGGTAGAGCAGAACATGTTGGCAAGGGGATCCTTGCTTCTGCTGTGAATAGAAGCAGGGGAAGTGTATTTAACTGTGGTACAAAAGATGTGCATTCATAAAAGTAAATAAATACATAAATACATACATGTGTACATACATAAAATAAACCCTCATTGAGAAGTGGTAGAAAGTGAATAGGAAACATACAGCATTTGTTCTCCACTATTGAGCTTTTGTTATGTGTCAGGCCCAGACGCTGTGTGTTTAAGAACTTAACTTACACTGTCTCATTTAAACAAGTTCTCTGTGGTAGATGTTATCATAGATGAGGAAACTGAGGCTAGGAGAGGTTAAGTAACTTGCCCAAAGTCACATGAGAGTGGTCAGCAGATTTAGTAACAGTAAAATATTTGAATATATATATTTGAATATATATTTTACCCAGATTTCACAATAAAATTAGAGCCCAGTAAAACAGAATCACTGAATCAGTGAGTAAACAGATTTCACCTTCAAAATCGAATATGTGACCCTAAACGTTTTTATTTTTCTGTCATCTAGATGTACATCAGTAAAGGGTGTATTGGGTTATTCTGTATTGTTAGGAATGGCCAATAGCTTCACTACATTAGTTGGTTGTCCGTGAATCAGAGGTCTTCAGCTGAATGGCCAGTCTTTGATGGCATGGCAGTTAGTTTGCTTCATCGATGAATTATTCTGAATTGACTTACTCTGTATTGTTGCCTAAACTTAATCAATTAGCCACATAATGGCCAAATATCCAAGAATCTATTGTCTAAAGGGAGATTTCTGTGTGAGGAGACACTGAACCATGGTATGAACAACATTGGCAGCAATTTTGTGACTATAACAGTCCAAAGTATTGCCATGAATCATCAAGATGGAATGAAAGGCAGGCCCCAGAGACTATCAGGGCAACAATGAAACCTCCCTTTTCTCAATTCTATCAAACATCACCAGAGGAAAGTGTTCTGTATCCAGTGTCTTTTACCAGCAACAATCTGATTGTTTCAATCCTGTGGGTTGGGATACTTCTATTTTTAATTCTCCTTAACAAAGACCTCTTAAGTCCAGAAGCTTCCTCTAAGGCCTGTGAAGTGCTATTCTGATCACCCCTTCATGTTTCTAAGCTGCTGTGGGATAATGTTGTGGAGAGAAGGCCCCCAGGGGAACGGCTGATTGGATTCTGGCAAGATGGACCAAACATCTGCTTCAAACAAAAGGCATCTGCATATTTCACATTTATTTTTCATAATTTACAGAAGCAACCTGCCAAAATTCAGCAAGGGAGAATACACTAGCACGTAATTAGCTTAAAGTTTGCTTGCTTTAGAAGTATGAGCATGAAGCCCAGGAGCTCACCTGGGAGGACATCAGGAATGGTGGAACTACAGTTTGATTTCTGGATATTCAGTTTTAGACCTCATTTGCCAGGGCAGAAAACCCAGCACTGCTAGGCTTGCAAGGGAGAAATAGATATGCCAGAGGTGACACTAGGAAGTTCTTTTGTCTTCACGTCAAATAAAAAGGCTTTTATTTGGTGTGAAACCAAACGGGTGGCCTAAGGTAATATCATTTATTAAATAAGATTTGAAGGGGCGCCTGGGTGGCTCAGTCGGTTGAGCATCCGACTTCCGCTCAGGTCATGATCTCGCAGTCCGTGAGTTCGAGCCCCGCATCAGGCTCCATGCTGACAGCTAGGAGCCTGGAGCCTGCTTCAAATTCTGTGTCTCCCTCTCTCTCTGCCCTTCCCCCACTCATGCTCTGTCTCTCTCTCTCTGTGTCAAAAATAAATAAAAACATTTAAAAAATTTAAAAAAAAGATTTGATTAAGCAGAAATATTTTACTTGTACCACTTAGCTCTGTAATACCCAGCACAGGTAATGGTACAATGTTACATGGCTTATAATTAAAAATGTGTATACCAAAAGTACAAATGGCATGGTGAGAAATCGTGTGTGGGGATATTGCATTGTTTTTCAAAGCATCTGAAAGTTGTCGCTTACCAAAAAATACTGGAAAATACGTTTGTTGCCCAGATAACACTATGTAATATGTGACAAAAGCAAAGAGAACAAGATAATGGATGATATGATCAGTCTTAACATATCCTGGTGGAAGGGATACAACAAATTATCTGCCCTCTATGAACTAGATCTTCCCAGCTGAATTTCAAACTTTGCAAGATCATTATTATGTGAAATAACTAAAGTTTGCGTAATTAGAAAATAAAAGGTAAAGAATGGATTCTTGAGAGCAAGCGAGAGGTGGGGGAGGGGGAGAGGTTTTCTTCTGTTTCTAGCAAAGGAATTTTAACCCTGTGTCCATTATTTAAAAAAAAAATACTAGTTATAAGATCCTGTGGGATTTCCCCTGATCTTAACTCCAGGAGAAAGCCTACTTAAAGCAAAATCTGCAAAGTATGGGGTGCTGTTGTTTTCAAAATATTCAAAACACAGGTGGGGGGGGGGAAGGAGAGTGGCATTTTGATTTTGCTGACTGCCCAGTGTCTTCTAGTCTTAGTCATTGTTTTACAAAACAATTGTATATCTGATTTAGTTGTAGCCACAATGCTGACCCTCCACAAATCTCTGCAATATCAGCGTGGCAGTCCCAAAGGGTTTAACATCTTAAGTTTTCAAACAATGGAAAAGCAATGTGTTCAATGCAGGCACTATGAATGATTCCTTGGTAACTCCTAGTTAGTTCTAAGGAGTGACTTGGTTGTGGCCATTCCAAATATCACCTAGTCTAAATTTCTTTCTTTTTTTTTTAATGTTTATTTATTTATTATTTTGAGAGAGAGCGCTGGGAAGGGGCAGAGAGAGAGAGAGAGAGAGGGAGAGAGAGAATCCCAAGCAGGCTCCACTCTGTCAGCACAGACCCCAACGTGGGGCTCCACCCCACAAACGATGAGATCACGACCTGAGCCAAAATCAAAAGTTAGGCACTTATGGGGCGCCTGGGTGGCTTAGTCGGTTGGGCGGCCGACTTCGGCTCAGGTCATGATCTCGCAGTACGTGAGTCGAGCCCTGCGTCAGGCTCTGTGCTGACAGCTCAGAGCCTGGTGCCTGTTTCAGATTCTGTGTCTCCCTCTCTCTGACCCTCCCCCATTCATGCTGTCTCTCTCTCTATCTCAAAAATAAATAAAAACGTTAAAAAAATTATTTTTAAAAAGTTAGGCACTTAACTGACTGAGCCACCCAGGCACCTGACCTAGTATTAATTTCTGATATCTGATTTACCATGTGCACACCAAACTGGTTTGAAACATGAATTCCCAAAGCTGCTCAAAACAGCAGCTACTTTGAAAACAACAATTTGTAACTATACACTAACCTGCTGTTTGAGATTCGCTAATTATTCTTTTTTTTTAAGGCTCCTCAAAAATTTTTATTTTACTATTTTTTCATATGAAATTTATTGTCAAATTGGTTTCCATACAACACCCAGTGCTCATCCCAACAGGTGCCCTCCTCAATGCCCGCCACCCACCCTCCCCTCCCTCCCACCCCCCATCAACCCTCAGCTAATCTTAAACATGCATTCTTTTTTAAAACATTTCAATGTACTTAAATTTCAAATCAGTATAACATACACATAAACCTCTTACATAATTATAAATTCTCTTCTTTTTGCAATGGGCTCTTAACAGAGGGGCAGTTTGTTATAAAGGAAAAAGAAGCTGGACTTGATTTGAATCAAGACCTGAGACCTAGATTTGAATCCTGGTTCAACCATATATAAAGCTGGGTGACTTCTGGCAAATTATTTAAACTCTCAGGGTTTCATTTTTTCTTCTATTGGGGGAGGTATTTTTGCTGTAAGCGTTAAATGAGGTAACTTGTGTTTATCACAGCACTTCATCTGCACCTAAACTAGCATATTAATTTGCCCAAGATTTGAACTTGCTCAAATTTAGAGGTCTTACATACTGTAGAGCTCTTTGAAAGAAAATTCATCCCAAAGAGGAGGGGGTCTGGCAAGAATACAAACTTTGAAAACAAACCTCAAAGTTGATTGAGAGGACTAATCCTAACATATTGGTATTTGTCATTCTATACACTTGTCGATAACTTAAAGTAAAAATTGAAAGAGCTGTTTTTCTAAAATTTCTACAATATACGGGGGCACAATATATACTCTTTGGGGATTTGCCTTTCTCCCGAGGGCAGCAGCAGTGGGGATGAAGTGGGGAGAGAAGCAGCAGTGGGGAGCACTGCTCCTGCTGCACTGAGCAGCAGTGGGGAGAAGTCAGCAGCAGTGGCCATGCCTGGTAGAAGCAGTGGATTCTGTTGAAAGTTGGCAGTAGTCCCAATCAGAAGCAGTGGTACAGGAGAAAGGGATGTTCCCAACAGAGGTAGCTGCCATGTTTAGAGAGAGAGCCTTCACCCAAAAACACTCAGTGGGAGAAGTGTGGTAACCAGCAGGAGTGCCCAGGAAATACCAATCTGCGCTGTTCTGTCCAACATGGTACCACTAGCCACATATGTTGCTTTTAAAAAATGAATTAAAATTAAAAATTCAGTTTCTCAGTCTCAGTAACAGACCCATCATCGTAGACAGTTCTATTGGACAACACTGGACTAGTAGATGACTGCTTCGTTCCAAAGCACATGTGAAAGACCCCTTAGAAGCTTCCCAAATGCCTGAAGACTGAGGCAGGGGGAGAGGGGGAGGAAATGAGGTCCCAAAACAGCAGTTAGGGGTAACAGCTGGTGAAGTAGAAGTTATTCCCTTTAACATGACTTCTTTCCACCCAAGGTGAAAACTGGGGGAATTCAGTGCATGCACAAGATATGGCTAGCACACTGTCTTTAACGTAATAAGCTTCAACAAATATAAACTCTCTTCTGCTTAAGATCTCTGCACCGGTGTTAGTGATTTCTAATATAACTATCATTCCATTACTGGAATGATTTCCCAGCACCTATATTAGATCATTAACCCCTTAAAAAGCAGCCAAAGACTCTTCATTGAATAAAGAACATGGTACAAAGTCCTGAGACTCATATCTTACCAAGAAGAGCACAGACACTGGAGCCAGAGAGCCTGGGCATGAATCCAGGTTTGAGGCTTGCTGGCTGTGGTGCATCACCAGTTAACCTCTCTGAGCCTCAGGTTTCTCATCTGTAAAATGAGGATAGTAATAGCACAGACATCAGTAAGTTGCTATGAATTCCTGACACATCACCAGTGCTAGAAAAGTGTTTGTTAAAGAAATATTTCCACTCCTCAACACACTGATCTCCAATCACATTTCAAGTTGGTCTTCTGCTATTGCCTAGTTCCCTCTCTACATTTCAACTGTGCATTATTCCCTCAGCTTGACTTAAAACTTTTTCCTTTTCATATCTATTGAAATCCTACATACACATCTTTCAAAACACACCTTCTAGAAGAATTTTTTCCTAGAAGATTAGTCTTACTTCAGCATGTCGATAACCTATGGTTCACCTCAGGATTATAAGCTTTGTTTCATTCTAGTTTGCCTTGTTCTTCATAGCTTGGTCTTGACAGGTCTGTACTCACCCTAGATTGTAAATTCCTCAAGGAATGATTCATGCTTTTGGTCCCCAGAATACATGGCTAAAATAGGTGCTCAGCAAATTCTCAGAAGAGGGTGAGAAGGAGGGAGGGTATGGCATGCCTTGGCCTTTCAGACCAATTCTATAAACACCTATTTTGTCTGAGTGCTGTGTTTTACAATCTGCACATAAGTGGCTTTTCAAGTTGTCTAAACACAGTATCAAGCATAATATCCTTCAGATGATGAGGGAAAATATCTGTTAATCTCCATTACATGGTCTGCTTAATGGTCTGCAAATATCTAGGTTTCTTCACCCTCTGGCTGTGTCACAAGGACTTCCCACCAAGCATAATAGCCTGGAACCCAAATGTTCCTTTGTGGGTACTCCACTTGCTGGAAAGTGGCAGACTCAGGAGAGTTCTGTCTGTGATCAAGTGTACTTGTTTTTTTTTTATGGGCTATTGATTTCTAAGAATTACACTTGATTTTACTTTTACAGACATAAAAAAATCACATAGGAAAATGACAAATGGATCATGAACAGATATTTTCAAAACTATCTCCCAAAGGTAAACCTTTGACCAAGGAGGATGTTGGGCAACACAACAGTACATCGGTAGTATCCCAAGAAGGCATATCACTGAACAAAGGAAGAACCAGAGAGATGCACAGAATGTGTACACCTAGACCATCCTTACATTGGTTAATTCTCCCATGAATAAGAGTTCTCTACATTTGTGTTCTGGGCCTATCTTTACTCTGGAAGGGATCAAAACTTCTACTCATGGAAATTATTTTGAGTAACCAGGACATAGGACATATGACCAACAATTGTCAGGATCACATATCCCTATCCTTCTCCCATTGGGAGGCAGTGGCTAACATTTTGTAAAGTGTACCCACATGCTCAGCATTTATCAACCCAATCATGGACACTAAGGATTTCTGCACAGGACCTTTTGCTCTCTCCATTCAAAAAGTAGATCGGTAGAGCACATCTGAAATCCAATATGATTCAAGCATTATCTCTGAATAATTTCTAGGCCATCTCTTTTTTTGATCTTTAAAAAACACAGAAATCACACGTCTTTCTTAATTTTTTTTTCCTAATAGGTCAATGGCTGAATTTTAGTTGATACTCAGTATCACACAATGTGAACACATCTTGGCTAGGGCTGCTGGGATCTGTGAGGGGAAATCCCCCCTTAGAACTCCTCACTCTTCTTATATTTTTACGTAACTCCTAACAAAGTAAGTACAAATAAGCAAAGAGACCTCACCTCTTCTTACCCTCAACATTTTCCTGAATGATGTTATTTCTTTGTTAGAAATATAAGATGAAGCTTTATGAGTCTTTAAAAGTCTAAAGAAAATAGCTACTAATGGTATCTTTTTATTGCCTACAATTCATCCTGCTGGAAAAGGCAGTAATGTTCTTAGAGTTGATTATAGCTCAGTCTTAAATTTTCTAATTGTTTTAGATTTTTCACTTATTTTAGACATTTTCACTTTGCCCCCTAGAGTAAATTAAGATGAAAGGTAAATTAAAAGGGAGGAATTCAACATAAAGAGAATAAATAAATAAAACGCAGATTGCAGAGCAGGAATGAAAACAAGGTCTCCCGGACCAATCTGTTGAAGGAATGTTACAAATGTGAAGTGTTTACTATTTTAAACATTAATCATGCACTCACTCTGTTTATTTAGCTATCAATGTTTTTCCTGTAACTCTGACTTGAAAATGTGTAAGCTGTTTAGAATTAGGACTCAAACTGAAGCCAAATGATATGTTGATTATTTATATTGCATAGCTTGTCTTGAAACTTCAGAGGTGCAGTCTTTTCATTTCAATTCACACCTTTTTTAAAAGTCATTATTATTTTGTATAATGTGACATCTCAAATAACTTTTATTGCCACCCACTACCAGACACCCAAGTCACAGCCATTAAAGATAGGGAGCCTGAGTCCTCCATCAATGGGCCTATTCAGAAAATTGCCACCATCTTGCTTTCACTTAGAATCTATGCAGTGGCCCCAACACATAAGACTAGCTTAGTCATCAGAATTAGGATTTCCAAAAAACTGTAAGTTTTCCAAGTTTCTGGCATTATGTTCTTGAGAGATATTAATTATTTTTGATAAAATTTCACAGTTTGGGCCTGCATAGAGAAAATAGCCATCAAAGGTACCAAATAGTCATCATGAATAGAAGCCTCTCATCGAATCTCACAAAATTGTAAGTCGTGTTAAGGGCAGAAACAGATCACATAAGGTTGATTTATTATTTCTTTCCTTTAAGAAAGTGAGGAAAGCATTATAATTTGCTCCTGGAATAAAGATATGTTAGAATTCTTCCCATTAGAACACCTAGAATGACATGGACAAGATCTCCAAAGGTACATATTTTCCTTGAAGACTGTTGCTGTTGCCATAAAATTATCCACATGACACAGGTGTGCTGGAAAACTGTAGCATATTTATTTTCTTCAGTTAACATAAAATTCCTCCAGTGCCCCACCCCCTTTCTTCTAATTTTAACAGTTCAACCTCTGGTGAGAGCTGTTTCTTCCACCACACCTTTTTTTTTCTCTCAATTGGTATGGTGGATCTCCACATGATTCTTGGGCTGTTGTCTGCTGCAGGGTCTCATTTGGTACTTGGTGAATGTTGGCTCATTCTCACATGTTTCATACTCAGTGTTCTAAGGACACTCAGCCTCCCATACTAATAGGTCAGACCATGCCTTGCCTGGCACTCTGCCTCAGCCTTCTTCAGGAAACTCAGAAGATGAGCCCCAACCCATCTCTGACTTTCTCTTCACGGTCCCTGAGAACCAGAAGGGCTTCCCTTCCTCTCCCCTTTGGGTCAGGCCATGGGGATTCTTTCCTGCTCTATCTTGTCACCCTTACAAGAGTGAGATTTTTCTTCCCCATTTCTTTTTTGGTTTTTCATTTGTTTGTTTGTTTGTTTGAATTTATTTTTGAGAGAGAGCAAGTGGGGAAGGGGCAGAGAGAGGGGGACAGAGGATCCAAAGCAGGCTCTGCAATGACAGCAGCAAGCGTGACGCGGGGCTGCAACATACAAACTGTGAGATTATGACCTAAGCCGAAGTTGGGCGCTCAACCAACTGAGCCCCCCAGGTGCCCTGCCTTCCCCATTTTTTTGATGGCTATGACAACAGAGTAGTTGTTGAGGATAGGACGTCATTTATGTGAGGAAAAACGTGTAAGTTTTGTCAGTTTGATAGTTTCTAGTCTGCATCCCTTTGGAGTTATGTAGAGGGCAGTGAGAACTACAGGTCATAGATTCTTCTAGTCCATCCTCTCTGTGTCTTTTACCATACTCCATTCCTCAGTGGTAACTCCACTTCTGCCCTCTGGGTTCCCAATGCCCTTAGAAGCTATTCACCTCCTTCAAACTAAACGTTTCTGACAAACTAGCTCATAGACATCCAATGTATGATATGACTTTAGGTACCACCGTGCTTAGAGGAATTATGAAGGACTAACACTTGAGCCCAAGCAATGAACCACTAAAACTGGAATTCTGAGAATTAGTGGTTTAAGAAGTGCATTGATGGAAGAAAAGTTTTTCAGTTCTGCTGAAATAATACCTTGTAGATGAGATGATCTCATGAGGTTTTTCTTTTTATTTTTTTAATTTTTTTTTCCAACGTTTATTTATTTTTGGGACAGAGAGAGACAGAGCATGAACGGGCGAGGGGCAGAGAGAGAGGGAGACACAGAATCGGAAACAGGCTCCAGGCTCTGAGCCATCAGCCCAGAGCCCGACGCGGGGCTCGAACTCATGAGGTTCTTCTATTTATATGTTCAACCACGAATGCACACACATGGACACATGTGCATGCACATATACACACAAAGACACTTCAAACTGAAATATCAAGACATATAAAAACGAGATTAACAAATATTAAAGAACTTTTAAAACTAATAAATATTTTATAAGTATATAGTGTTAATTGTGTCAACACATTTGATACAGACTTCCTTAAATAAATAACAAAGAATCACAGTAAAATAAAGAATTAGACAAATGACATAAACTAACCAAGCCAAAGCCCAAATAACTCAGATGGTTCCAGAATTACCCAAAGAACTGACTTTTAGCACAGTGTTTTTACTTATTGACAGAAACGGTCACAGGTATCTTGCTGTGACCAGTAATTGACAACAATACCAACTGTCCTGTTTTGTAAAGGATTTGATTTCAGGCAAACCTAACTATGTTTACAAAAGCTGATTTTTTTAAATTATAGACTGTGGGAGTCTGAACTACTCTTTTAATGTTTTTAGTAACTGTAACAAAAACTTCTAGTATTTTAAATACACAACAATTAAAGAATATGTGGCACTTTTTATCATTTTGCTCCTTCCCTGGAACTTCTGACAAGAGAAAACTTTTAGCAGCATTTAATGGATGGGCCTCACCTTGGCCTGGCAGCTCAGTTTATGCCTCATGATAGTATTTTGAGAAACAAATCCAGATTTGCCTGGGTATATCTTGATGGACTTTCTTTTTTTTTTTTTAATATGAAATTTATTGTGAAATTGGTTTCCAAGCAACACCCAGTGCTC